TACTGGGAGAGACGTGGCAGCGGTAGGGTAGAGAGGGGAGCAGGGGCGGTAAGTGGCTTAGCCAGAGAGCTGGCGACGTGGGTGTAGTTCGAGTAGGGGGTTTGCAGCGGGGGTGTGGGAAACGTTGCACGGGGTAAAGCATCAAGAGCCGATTGTGAGAAGGGGACTGCGCTTGTCAAGGGCATGCTTGTTTGTCGCGGGCGTGTCCACGTTTGAGCTACATAGCATCACAACTTGGCTGCGAGGACGTTGTTTTGACGACATGCCGCTCATTGGTGCCTGTCGCAGGTGCTCAAGTTCCAGGAGGCGCAGAACAGGGTGTCCGCCTCCAACGACTTTTTCCGGGGTCTGTCCAAGGAAGCCGACCTCGTCATGGACGGAGATCTCCTCATGGTGCGTTAGTCTTATCTATAATATCTGCCCTCGACCCCTGACGAGGATTCGTAGATATGAGTGTGTAGTTGATCGTCTGATCTGCTGACGACCGTTCGATCGGCTGATGTGTTTAGAACCACCAGAGTTTTCCGTATAGCTGACGGCTACATGATCACGAGGCCACTATAGTGAGACAGAAGTCGAAAGCAGTACTGCTGTGTAACCAAGAAGAGGTAGATTTTGTCCACTCCACCGCGTTTGGTTTATCGTGGCTACTGGCTGGCTGATTCGACCGCTTGCTTGCGAAAAATAAACGGCGTGAAGTCTGTAGTACTTGGCATGATTCTCTCGCAGTCGCACAGGATTTCTGTCTGCCGTATGGGTATCCGCTCTTTTGAACTACTTGTACACGTTAAGCCAGTCCAATGTATGGGTTCATCCCACGGACGTCACACAGATCGATGCCAAATATCCCCAAATCTTAGAACACCGCCGCCACAGCGCGCACACACACACGCACGCGCTTGGGAGAAATGGTTCAGATTGGTTTGTTCGATATCATCGCACGGGTTGATTGAGCAACGAGCCCTATGGTCGGTGACAAGTTTGGTGGGCCGGCAGGGTTCGCCTGATGCATCTTTATCTCTTTCTCTATCTTTCTATCTCTCTCTCCTCCTCGTCCGTGTTGATGGATTTGGCATGCATACGCGAACACGGAGTCGGTCGATTCTTGGTTGTTGGAGGTGATCATGCCTTTCTTTTCTTTTCTTTTCTTTTTCGCGTTTTGTTCTGTTCGCGATTCGGCGTTGTCAGGAGGACGCGGGCGCCAAGCCGGACGCGGCGGCTCAAGGGCGAAGGGGAGTGAAGGGGTTGGGCAAGAAGGGAAACCAGCACGCGGCGAGACTGGCGGCTGAGGCTAGACAGGCGCTGGCGGTGAGAGAAAACGTTCAGTCCCGTCTACATGCTGCTACCGCCGCCTCTGATGTTTTTTAGAAAATGTACATCAGAAAGACTACCTGTCCGAGACATGACCACAGCAGTAGTCCAAGGGGATGTGTGTTGAATGGAGGCTTGACAACAGCGAGGAGAAGAAAACCGGCTGGGTTTATGTTTCCGGCTTTTCTTGGCTTTGTTCGCCCCGTACCCAATAGCCGGACCCCCTTCGCTCGGAAATTGTTGTTTTATGTATGAAATATGGACGAGGGTTTTTCGTATCATTATCCCTATCCCTATCCCTATCCCTGTTCCCCACCCCGTACCCCCTACGAAAACCGAGATTAATATCCTCGCTAAGGCAAAGCGAAGCCAGGGTGGGCTATAGCTACCTACCAGCGTGGTCTTGGCGTTTGCGTTGTTTGTCTCAGGCGTGGTCTTGGCGTTGTTCTTTCACCTCGCACCCAACAGCCAGGGAGGGTTGCCTGTTTGTGATGAACCATTTCGCCGGGGTTCACACGCGCAAGGGCAGTCTTCCCCGCACGCCCTCGCTGTCACTCGACGTCTCGTCAATCGTTGCGGTTTTTAGCTGTTGTGGATGTCTTGTAGCTGCCTGGTTGTAGCTTGCTGTCGGGGTCGTTTGGAAAGCTCTTGCCATGAACTCCATGTCGTTGAGTGCTGGGTATTTTGCGATCGGTCTGGGTGTTTGGTAGAGAGAGGAACGTGTGGGGATGTTTGATTCACCACTACGAGTTTCGCACATATATCCTTCGATGGGTTTGATGCAATATTCTTGTGCGTGAATATCGTTTCGAATAGACAGGAGGGGTCAAAGTATGCAAAGGCTTTGAATGCTCCGATATTCACTGGAGACGGCCACGCTCGCAGTTATTCCTTTCCCCTCCCTGTCTGCTTCTCATGGAAATCCCCAACAGGTATCGCTGTCGCAGCCTTTGCACAGCGACCGGCGGAAGCTGATCCCGGTCGCGCAAGCCCTGACCGACATGAGAGCGGTGTCTGAGCGGACGGCGGCGGGAGACCTTGCGGGGAAGCAGAGGACAAGTAGCGGAAAGCAAAAGACACTGAAGTAGAAAAGAATTAAAATATGTGGTGCGAAGAAAGGAGGACACGATTTGCGTTTGCGAAAGCAGGAAGCTGCGTAGCGGCGTCGCGACGAGCACGCCGTTCACACGAGCGTAGGGGGGCCAAATTCCTCACTTGCATATTGCGGTGTCTGCTGCGGCTGAAAAAAAAGGGGTTAAAGCCAGGATACGGATGCTGCTGCTGCCGCTGCCGCTGCTTCCAGAACTGCCGTTGCTTTCCCTCTCGTATTTATGAGCTGCTTGTTGTCTGCAACTGTTCTTACTGTAGGCCAGTTGCTTGTCGCTTCTTGGTGCACGGGCCGCTCTGCCGGCTGTCGCATGTTCTTGCTTGCTCCTTGGCCTCCCACGAAGCATGCGTTATGCGGGGGTCATTTGTAGTGTGTCACGCTTGCCTTTGATACCTGTGTTCTGTTGTCCCATTTGAGTGTTTTTGTCTGGATACGGTAGGTTCGGTGAAAGATGGGCGATATCAAGCAACGGCTCTTTGTCTTGTAGTATGAGCGGCAAGCCATGAGCGTTACGACAAGACACATCCAGTCAGGCGTGTTTCCCCTTTTGCCGATCCTCGCGGACTTCTACAGATATACTCTTACCTCCCAAACCGACAGCTCCGGTCAGGGCTGGGCCGATGTCGCCAACTTCGACATCCGGCACAGACATGTTGTCTATGCGTCGCATGACGATTGCGATTGTGAATATTCGAGCAGGGACAATGCAATGACTTTTTCCGAGTGGCCCAATGAAAACTTTTTCGTCATGTCCTTCACCCTCACGACCGCACACAGTGTTCGATCGATTTGAGGCCGTTGAGCTGGCGCATCAGCTCGCGAACTACGTCCGAGTGTGCCTGTGTTTCGCCGAGTGATGCCTGACCAGAGTTTGTCGCATACTCCACCGCTGTCGCGCTAGGAGGGAGCTGTCTGCATGTTTGTGTTGTGGAGACGTCTAGCCATACCGTAGGTTGCTTAAGATTACACAGCCCCTTGAACGATCTTCAAAGCTTCATCATCACCGTACTCGTGCTTGTTTTCGCACCCCCGTGTGCGCGTTTTTCTAAAGCGTATTTCTCCACAACTACTACTGTAGGAGGGTGCGAACACCAACTGATACCTCTCCGGAAAGCCCTCGACGAGATGTGTCCAAAACCACCCTCTTCGGAGGTGTGTGGAGAAATACGCTGTAGAAAAACGTGAACACGGGGGTGCAATAACACGCACAACTACGGTACTTCACGACGAAGAGGATGCTGAAATCAAAGGATACGTTGTCGGAAAGCTCTCGACGAGACAGTTCCAACGCCACCATTTTCGGCACCGTCACTGGTTTTCCTGCCGAGTAATGGAGCTTTGAAAATCGGGCCAGGGGGTGTGATGTCTTATGCAACCTACTACTGTGTACAAAGTGCTTCTCGCCCATGTAGCGGTCTCCACATGGGATAACTGCAAGAAGCAGTGAGGCAGGTACCCTCGAGCCTTCTCACCAGTAACTTCGTCGCTGGCAGGTGTACAAATTCCAACACTTGGATGAAAATATGCAAAGCAGCAGTGGGCGGCGTCCATCATGGTTCGTCCACGACCGACGCTGAATATCTTCAACGGACAAATCATGTTGGATCTTCCTACAGACGCTAAAGATATCTCGAAGGTTGTCGCGTACTTTGATCGCGTGGTTCTTCTCTCTTGTTGTTGTCCCACCCAGCGCTTGACAAACGTCTTGAAATCGATCCTATGAACGTGGTGATGTAAGCGCCGGAAGTTGCCATCTTCCGTACCATAAAACACAAGGGGGCGGCGAATATGACAACACGCCCAGCGGAACTGTGCGGCAAAGGTCATCGGTGGCCCCGTGGATGTGTGACCTGGGGGGAACGTTGCCCAGTCCGCGTTCGTCAATCTGGTGCAACATCCGCACCCACCTACTCTGTCACCTCTGTCACAAACATTCGCCGCCTTCGTCCATCAAGAATGGTCACCACACGAGCGAAGGGCGATGCTGAGGCAATTGACGACGAGGTGAGCTTGTTCTTGCCCGTGAGTTCGTGCGACTGCTGTGTGGTCCCAGCACTCCTCGCTGCAAACCTCTGGCAGAGGAGACGCGATGACGTTGAGATTTCATTTTCGTAAAACAAACTGCTGGTGCTGAATTTTGCAATGATTCGAAAGTATAAAACCACTATTGTTTGTAGACTACTACTGCTGTGCCGTGGTTGACGCCATGACCGAGAGAGGGGCGAGAGCCAAATGGCAAATGGCGGCGAGCCGCTGGTTCTTCTGGTTGTCTCACTCTCCGTTGTGGGACGCTGAGGAGTCACTCCGGTTTTCTGAAGCAGAGGTTGCTGGTGGATAGTTTCAGTCTAATTTATAGTTTTTCATGATGCGATGCCTTGTACTTTGCTCGAAGTCATGCTGCTGTACATGCAGTATTATAGTAGTCGCATGTTCACTTCAACATCGCGTGTTGGCTGTGCGTGCACAGCAGTAGTGTGCCATGGGCAGAGCAAGAGAGAGACTTGTACTACCTGTGCACGGAGTCGGGCAAGAGTTGCAAACGATCCCATTTACGCGCGTGACGGACGTAGACAGAGCGGGAGAATTGTCTTACTCGTATTTTTTTTGTTGAACGCCGGGTGCGTGACTGCGTGACGTCTTGACGGTTTCGCCAAACCGTCACCTCGTCATAGGCTGCATTTGGATTTTGGATAGCAAACAAGGATTGAGCAGACATGGGAACGATTTTTTAGTGTTTGTTGTGTAATCAAACCAACAGCAGCAAACAACAACGACGACGACAGCAACAACCTCAACTGAATTGCGATGAAAAAATGGAGAGACTTTTTCACTTTTTCTTGTGCCGCGAGGCTTCGAGAATCATGCTACATGTCATGCTACAATACCGCTAAGATTACCGCGGTAGTTGTTCCACAGGAGTCATGGGGCACGTGAATCACTCTCAGCGAAGACCTACCTGTTTCTTCGCGTGGCGGTTGCGGCGGTGGCTGAATATTGACAAGTTGAAATACAACGAGTATCCGGGTGCAGGTTTGGAGTGATGCTAGTATCGTGGGGGGAGGGAAGAGGCCGTAGAGATGTTGCCAGAGGTTCGACTGCCAGGTAACAGCAGTTTATCATGTCGCCCCTCCCCCAAACATTATAGCCAAGAATGGTGGCAAAAGGGATGTGATCGTCTAACGCGACGGTGGGTGTTTGAAGAGAGACACGACCGAAGCTGGGTCGCGCCCTTTTTGCGCACGGTGTGCAAGAGTTTCGGGGTGAACGTCAACACTTCCTTCGGGTTCATTTCTAGGCTTACTTGATTTTCCTACCGCAAAGGTTGTTTTTGTTCCTTGGAAAGAATGGAGTCGCCTAGCGGCGACCGACGAACGCTGGACGCGGCGCTTCGTTGCTTATTCTAGCGGGGTGTGAGCACCACAACGCCACCAGCACGGCAGGTGCTTCCTACCATGCCACCATTTCAATCGTACCCGTCGAAGCCGGTGCCTACGTAGTCCATGATGACCGATAAAACGTTGCTCGTAGTCCATGGAAGCCGACATGAGTCGTTCCGACACATACACATGAACCCAACGTAGGCATTGGAAGTGACCCTTTGTCCACGCATGCGACCGCTGTTACTGGCCCACCATGACTTATGGGAAGTATAGGCAGTTCGTGTTACCGTGTTGCACTGCGGGTCGTTGGATTAAGGTGCAGGTCGCCCTTGCAGCACTCCCGTCTCAACCTGACGCTATTGGAACAACATCCTTGTGGTTACTGGACAGGTGACCGCTTTGGTACACAACGGCGGCGGCGGAGACGAAAACGGAAACGGAGGCTCGAAAGAGCGCAGAAGTAGTAGTAGTAGCGCGTATCCGTTGGATGATAACGAGGCCGTCAAGACCTACATCAGGAACTGCCGAGCATACGATGTGAGCAACACAGTGGCGTAGGGGGGCCGGAGGGCGAGGGGGCCCTCGGACAATTTGAATTGCTGTCCGAACGGAACTCGTCAGAGGAATGAGGAGGGAAGGGTGCGAGCATGGGGGGGGGGGGGGGGGGGGGGGG